AGCTCGTCACTTCAGGGTGATAAATCCATCAGTAGAAAACTGTGTTATTCTATACAGGTTGAATTACTTGCAGTATTGATGATGCCACAGTCTGTCTTTGTGCCGGTTAGCAACTCCCTGTTAAGCGCGCTTGGGTTTAAACATTCAAAACTCAATCATCTTCCTGTACTTATTGATATTTGATCATTTTAAGTTAGAAGTTGACATTACAACTAAAGATGACTCAGACTGAAAGGTACATATAACGTAACTGCACCGCTGGTTTATCACACCAATTGACTCAAGATTCAACTCCCGCAGTCTGTTTCCCGTGAGATGCGCCACTCCCAAGGGATGAAACCTCATAAACACGTCGCCAGAGACAATGGTGTTGTGTAATTGCAGGGTGAGAGTGTGAGGGGAGGTTCTCGCACCGCGGTCTGTGTTTTGACCCAATGACATCCGGCCAACCCTGAGGTTAGGTCCAAAATGGCGGTTTTAAAAAAAATAGGTTTACCCTAGAATCAATACGGGTTTTTAAGACTTCACATGACAAATTAGATTTTGAACAGTTACCGTACATTATTGTGGTTATTCTTGAGAGTCTGGTCTGTGAAATTTTTGATGTTTGTCAACATTTCTTGACGCCCCAACTGACTTTTAAAGCTGATGGCAATTGTTTTTGACATAATCTCAGGATTGATATGCACTTAAATAAACAAGGTGATGTGTATGGCTGAGTTATCTTGTTAGACAGGGTTAAAGTACCTTAATGTATGTTCACCCTTAATGTACTCTTACTTCTTAAAATGAGACGCATTTTATTCTACGACATTCACGTGAAAATGGCCTCGTATGAAGTTTATTTGCACTGGTCTAAAATGCAACTTCTCGCCTGCAAGATGATTACTTAAAAGCTCAAAATCCCTACTGGTATGAAAATGTACTATCAAAGCACAGTAAACAAGACATCCAGGTGTCACTGTGTAACAACTCTATTGTTCCTCAACACTCGTCACATGTCCTGACTCTTTGTGGAGTACAATGGTACGTAACGAAGAGACCAATGGGAACAATCACTCCTGTCTACAAGTGGCGCCTCATTAGCAACCGAGCGACAAGTGACGAGTACATAACCCAGAGTGACACATACTGCTGTGGGAACTCACTTGGATGTTCAGGTAGCTACAGAGCGACAAGTGACGATTACATAACCCAGAGTGACACATACTGCTGTGGGAACTCACTTGGATGTTCAGGTAGCTACAGAGCGACTAGTGACGAGTACATAACCCAGAGTGACACATACTGCTGTGGGAACTCACTTGGATGTTCAGGTAGCTACAGAGCGACAAGTGACGATTACATAACCCAGAGTGACACATACTGCTGTGGGAACTCACTTGGATGTTCAGGTAGCTACAGAGCGACTAGTGACGAGTACATAACCCAGAGTGACACATACTGCTGTGGGAACTCACTTGGATGTTCAGGTAGCTACAGAGCGACAAGTGACGAGTACACAACCCAGAGTGACACATACTGCTGTGGGAACTCACTTGGATGTTCAGGTAGCTACAGAGCGACAAGTGACGAGTACATAACCCAGATTGACACATACTGCTGAGGGAACTCACTTGGATGTTCAGGTAGCTACAGAGCGACAAGTGACGAGTACATTACCCAGAGTGACACATACTGCTGTGGGAACTCACTTGGATGTTCAGGTAGCTACAGAGCGACAACCCAGAGTGACACATACTGCTGTGGAAACTCTCTTGGATGTTCAGGTAGCTACAGAGCGACAAGTGACGAGTACATTACCCAGAGTGACACATACTGCTGTGGGAACTCATTTGTATGTTCAGGTAGCTACAGAGCGACAAGTGACGAGTACATTACCCAGAGTGACACATACTGATGTGGGAACTCACTTGGATGTTCAGGTAGCTACAGAGCGATAAGTGACGAGTACACAACCCAGAGTTACACATACTGCTGTAGGAACTCACTAAGATGTTCAGGTAGCTACAGAGCGACAACCCAGAGTGGCACATACTGACTGCTGTGGAAAAACTCTTGGATGTTCAGGTAGCTACAGAGCGACAAGTGACGAGTACATAACCCAGAGTGACACATACTGCTGTGGGAACTCACTTGGATGTTCAGGTAGCTACAGAGCGACAAGTGACAAGTACATAACCCAGAGTGACACATACTGCTGTGGGAACTCACTTGGATGTTCAGGTAGCTACAGAGCGACAACCCAGAGTGACACATACTGCTGTGGAAACTCTCTTGGATGTTTAGGTAGCTACAGAGCGACAAGTGACGAGTACATAACCCACAGTGACACATACTGCTGTAGGAACTCACTAGGATGTTCAGGTAGCTACAGAGCGACAAGTGACGAGTACATAACCCACAGTGACACATACTGCTGTGGGAACTCACTAGGATGTTCAGGTAGCTACAGAGCGACAAGTGACGAGTACATAACCCAGAGTGACACATACTGCTGTGGGAACTCACTTGGATGTTCAGGTAGCTACAGAGCGACAAGTGACGAGTACATAACCCACAGTGACACATACTGCTGTGGGAACTCACTAGGATGTTCAGGTAGCTACAGAGCGACAACCTAGAGTGGCACATACTGACTGCTGTGGAAACTCTCTTGGATGTTCAGGTAGCTACAGAGCGACAAGTGACGAGTACATAACCCAGAGTGACACATACTGCTGTGGGAACTCACTTGGATGTTCAGGTAGCTACAGAGCGACAAGTGACGAGTACACAACCCAGAGTGACACATACTGCTGTGGGAACTCACTTGGATGTCCAGGTAGCTACAGAGCGACAAGTGACGAGTACATAACCCACAGTGACACATACTGCTGTGGGAACTCACTAGGATGTTCAGGTAGCTACAGAGCGACAACCCAGAGTGGCACATACTGACTGCTGTGGAAACTCTCTTGGATGTTCAGGTATTTACAGAGAAGATGGCGTTGATTTTCTGACTATCCGTGATTAATTTACATCCGAAATCGTTGAATTAACGTACTAAATAAGCATGATACCGACACTTGTTCAACACTAAATCTTTTATGCACTTTTATTTTTTATTTTTTTTTATTTTATTTTTTATTTTTTTTTTATTACTGCGATCACATTGGGCCTTAGAATCATACCAAAAGTCATGGCCAATGGGGCAAGCAAGCTTACATTGCCAATTCCAACTGTTTCGACTATCTTCAAATGGGTTTCGGTAACCTCCACATTCTTACAATCGGCACTGGCCTCATCTAATGAACACTTGGATTCACACAGCATAAAGAACTGTGTTCGGATAGAGTTCCCACTTGGCACTCCGGCCGCAACTCAAAAAAGAGTAATGGGAAGATTGTCGCGGGCAGTGAAATTACAGGCGACCGGCTGCGCTCCCACGCCATCATGTTGTATTGTTGCAACCTGAGTGCTGAGCTGATGCTGACTGCCGAGAGCCGGGGGAGAATTAAAATTACATAAAACGCTGTCAAGGTCCTCGCCCCACAGTCTACTCTAAATCTGATTGCATTCCCGGCGCCGCCTCTACAGTAGTTGAGTGAAATAATCACTTCCCATATCAATACTGCAGAACGGACTAAAGTGTTGCGTTTGGAATACAGGAAAAGGTTTTTTTACATTGCATTTTCCCGTTCATATAGGCTTCGGACCTGAGTGAAGTGTTGGTCGAGTACAAGGAGACGTGAACCTACGACATCGTTGCTTTTTGGGTTTACAGTTCGTAGCGCTGCCGAAAGTCACGAAATCATAATGTTTAACTGTTTCTATGTGAAATTATGTGCATAAAGTGCTGACGTCCTCGGTATTTAAACCATGTTTTGACGGGTTTATTCGTTGCAACTGAATCATTTTGTACCATAAACTAAGTCACCAATTCATTAAGTTTGATTGTTTCGATGTGTAATATGCATGACGAGCTGGCGTTTTCGTAAATTTAAATATTTCAAGTGTATTGCTTGTTTTGTTCGCTGCAACTCACAATACAACATAGATACATTGTACATTATTTGACCATCAATTCATTCCAACGAGGCATTTACAAATTGCTTGAACAATATTCTTTGCTTTCAGGTTGATCCAATCTGTGCTGAAGTCGACTTCAAGGTACGTTTTAGATTCCTGTGCATTCATATCTCCTAATATTGTAATGTATTTAATTTTAACCAGATAAGGTGACCGGGTAAGGTGTTTAAAATAACATAGTTTATCAGCTTCTCACCGAGGTTCCCTCCATCGATGAATTTATTATACATCGATGGTTCCCTCACGCTGTACAGGAACTTCCACTACAACCAGTGATGCGAAGACTTGCAGCAATGTTTGAAATCACAAATTCTACACCATATATCTCCAAATACCAGCGTCCATCAATTATCCATACCTATGTTGCACACCCATACAAAAAACAACACTCCACTTCAATCCATATGGACACCTAGTTCCTTATGGGGATTATCGAATAAAACTTGTTTAAAGGTATTCTTTTCGAGGTTTGCAATAAATTGTGATTAGAGGTAATACAAAATCAAGAGTATTTTAAACATGAAACTTGTAATAAAAAGCGACTTTCCTTGGAGGGTCTTGTTATTGACGTACTCACTGTATCACATACAGTATTGTGTAGACACGCGAAACTCTTGCTTGTGAAACAATAACTGAAAAAACTAGAACATTTCTATAACGCACAATACATTTCTCAAAAAGGTTATCTCCCAAATCTGTCTACCCTTCCGACCCAATTGGGCGCAGCTGTGGTACAGCTACCGCCGCGCCCCCGCCCTACCTGTCGGATTAGGGATGGGACGGGGTGGCGACAAAAGAGCTGGAAATAGTTTGTTTCCGAGGAAGCGTAAGCGTGTCGGCTGTAAATATTTGGTCGGACTTGTCAACGCTCGGACAGTAGACGGTAGACAGTGGGTATGTTGGGGAGGAGGTGGGGAGTTACCGTTACAGCGCAGGTAGAGGTGGAAGTCTAGAGTTGCCGTGAGTAGTCACTCCGCCGCGCTACGGTCAGTCAGTCCAGTTCACTCCGAGTGATAAGTGCGTGGTGAACGTTATTGTGACTTGTGTTGTCAACCTTCGTTCAATAAACTTGCATACAGTGCGCGCATGATTTTCCATAGACCAGGAACATCAAAGGCTACTATTTTAAGGTTAGTTTTTTACTTGACAAGTCTTTGGGTTGTTTGGGATACCCCACGATTAGGGCAGTTTCAAAACTTGCATTTGACTTTGCTCGTTGTTTATTTACTTGTGAAACTTGTCTGTTGAAGGGGTTTCTTGTTGGTGTAATTTAATTTACATGTCTCGGTTGTAATAATGGTTTAATAAATGGAGACTTAGAACAACTTAAATTGTTTTGTATTCGTTCGCAATACAGTAATCGTTACGTTAATAACTGATTCGATTTCTAAGATTCAGTTTAGTGTATTTTGTAATTAGACATTTTTAACACTTTACTCTTGTGTTTGTGTTGATTTTTTAGTGCTTAGTACTTTAGTAGTCAGCAGCTGACCAAAAACACAGCAGTAGTCGAGCTCTTATCATTTAATGTTTTCAATTACAATTCTAGTCTTGTTAAGCTATTTTATGTTATTTTGTAGGACGTAGGGTTTTTATTTATTTAAACCTGTTTCATTTAAGATTTCATTCATTTACAGTCGTAATGGAAGTAAACATGTTGTATGATCAGAAAATGTTTATTCTTTGCTCGCTGATAAATGCTGCAAGGCATTATAACGGTTAATTTTGTAAAATTATTGCTGTAAATAATAATCGCAATTAGATATTTTATTGGACTGATACGTTATCTTAATTAGGCCTTTGAAAATAACTACACTTACAATTACAATCCAATAAATTGGTACTGTATCATATTAAATTAAATACGTATAGTATTGGTACATTCATAATATCGGTGATGTATTAAATAATTTATTGAACAATCAATACATTTAATACATTACAAACACATTTAGTACAATTAGTACATTTCAATAAATTTGCATAATAGTAATTTCACTTTTATTATTGGCTAATTTATAAAATAGAATAGGTAGGCCTACCTAATATTTTACTTTGGCGAGTAGATTTAATTTTGCTAATCAAATCAGTGTATCATTATAAATTTGCATAAAACGGATAAGTACTGCATTCTTAGCGTTTAATGAAGCTACGGAATCTTGTTTTTTGCGGTCCTTCATACCCTCTGTTTTGCAAGTTACTCGTTTTCCTACCCTTAGCAAAGGGATGAAGACAGAAAGAAAATTATAATTATAGTTTGGGATAGTTTTATAATTAAGAAATTTATTCTGCTTAGATTTGCGCTGTAATAATTTTAAAGCTACGTCAAGATTTTCAGGACGCATACATTACAGTAGAGTGGGTCTGGGTATTTTAAATGGAAGACGAGTGAAGGACGAGTGTTTGACATTTTTGACAGCCACTACTAAAATCAGCTGGCTCTGTAATCTTTAAACTAGTTTAAGTGTCGAACCACGAAAAAGCTTACAGCCCACGAAAATTTGAAGAGAAACGGTATGGATCATAAACAAAAAGATAAACAAATAACTTCACTGGCCCAAATGTCTTTACGAATTGTCGTAGCAGTCGGTTTAGATGTGTTTAACTTACAGTTCCGTTTGAAAAGTTAAGAGGCTTCATCAGTATTGTAGCCAAGCCATATTAGATTTTAGTCCCATAAGAGCAATGTTAAATTTGAAAAAAATACCATCATTTAAAGCAGTATGCCGGTGTTATTTATAAAGATATAGTTTTGAAATTGTATAATTATGTTCATAAACTACAAGTAGAGTACTACATTATGTAGAGTACTAGGGAGAATAAAGTAATGATATTTAAAATTTTTCTTTTTGTCTTTTCTTAATAAATAATTTGATTAAAGGCTTAACTAATAATCATTAACTTATTTAGTGGGGGGAAAATGGCAAAACTAAAATCTTCACTCCCTAGAGGACCACTAAACCTAAATTTTAACACCTCAATCATTATTTTATCACAACAGGTTTTTTTAGAAATTCTGTCACAAAGTTAACATCGCTTTTATGGGACTAAAATCTAATATTGCTACCACTGGGAAGACTCTTAATAAAAACATGTTTACTTTTGGGCCAGTGACATAGGCTAATAATTTGTTTATGTTTATGATGCATAAAGTTTTCGAACCTCTTCCAGTTGTTCACAATATGGCGAGTACTACGTCAAAGACAAAATAGTGCACTTCTTGCTCGCCTGTCGCTTGTGACTATTATGTACACTCCGCTTCTAAAGAACTTTTTACGATGTTCCGTAGACGTTGGGTTGCAATTATTCACTAGTCTACTGTACAAAATATTGCCGTTTCCAGCAATAAAAAACTAGGTTTAAACCCTATAGGGCCTATGTGTTGCTTATAGCCTGCCGGTTAGTGTCTCGCACTTTGGTGCAAGAGTCATGGGTTCGGTTCCCCCGTTTTACAAATAAATGGTGGATTTGATAGGTCTCACTAAAATCGTTTAGGATTTCTTATTAAATTAAAACGACAAAATAATAAAAAAACCTTTCACGATAATTACTGTATAGGCCCCAATGAAAAAAACTTTTACCGAAGTAAAAAATCTAATTTAGCATCGGATGTCAACTGAATCGCGAACCACGACCTCTCACAGTTAATGGCGCTTGAACTGGAAACATTAAAACCAATTGGAACAGCGACTTCTCACGTTCAGTTTGCCCCTTGACGACCCGACTGCCAGTTTTTGGCCCATTAACCGGCTAAACACAATATCGTGCGCACCTCATAACATTATCATGTTTTCTGCTATCAGACCGAGGCCGTAAACCGGGGTTATTTAATTACATCGAAAACAAAACAGGTGTCGAGTGCGGCGCGCGGCGCTGCCAGTGGTACCAACTGAAACAAAAACACCGGCTGCAGTCAGCAGAGTTGCCAACAAAAGGAACACAACCGGCGCAGCTGCATGGACTGATCGTCTACCTGCCACACAATTATATATCGGCTACTTGGGCTCCTGCTCCTGCGCTGTCGGCCGACATGTGTTTTGGAATCGCCCAATACTTGTACTTACGGTGCAATTGTTTTTGTAAAAAGATTTTTGGATATGCCCCAAATCTTTTGGAACGTGGTTGTTTCATATGCAAGAATATGAATTTATGTAGCCATTGGCTTCGTGATACTTATTTAGGAGACATATCAACTACATAGACCAGCTACCAGCTATAATCTAGTTTTTACTCAAATATAACTTAAGTTCGTTGGTAGATCTAGGTCATTCCCTCCCAATGTTAAAGTTGATGCCAGTTTTAGAATCTAAATATTAAAATAGACAAAGCAGAATAAGGTCCTCTGATGAGGTGTGCTGATGTGCTGATCACTTTCGGCTTCGACGATCACGCCCTTTTAACTAGATCAAACATATTTTAGCATATTTTATGTCACTTAGCATATCTATGGAACACAAGCTAAGGGAGTTGATCGAATATTGTATTCAACTACCCTACGTCTTACAGCTGATCAATATGGACTATCTGTAAAATAGGGAGGTAAAATAAACATGTGTTTGCGATAAGTTTAACTTTCTGTCAGTAAAAGAAAACACACGATTAATACGCACAGCTATCAAGTGACGCATTGATAAGCAGACCAGGATTACTCAGCGAGTGTGTAACATACGTTCCACCCCTTGTTTCCGGTGACCACATTCCTCAGAAACAACCGACATTATTTTCTCAGATGTGACTCATTATGGTATAATCTTCTCAGCACTCGTATGAATTAATTTGTCATAACTACTACAAAATTGGTCCTGGTGTTATATGGCAAATTAGTGCTTGGCAACACTCTGGAGAGAATTGTGCCACACTGTATACTTGTCGAACTTGTTTAGCTCGGTTTGCCAAAGTTCTATGCTTACTGAATCAATTTTAATAAGTTCCGTTAACAATTAGTGTTGTATAATTTATTTAGCCTTACATTTCGGACGTTCATCGGAGAGACTTTAACGGTAGGTTAGAACGGATGGCGCTCACTGAGTGCACCGGGCTATTGAACCATATGCTATTTTCATATTTTTCTTTACTGCAAACTGGTTCACGAATATAAATTGATTGATAATGCTCACAGTTTCACAAGATCTTGAAATATGTAATTGTAATCACTTACTGGAATCGGCTTTACACGTTTTGAACTTGTTTCATTCGATTCCATTTTAATAGCTTTAGTCAATACAATTTGTATATAGTGAATGGAATTGTTTCAGTATTATTACCCTAGTAAATACAGTTATCACAGGCAAAAATTCCTTTAAAAAAGAAACAAATAAAAATTAAGAAAATAAGCTGATAGAGGAATAGCCTCTTCAATGGAGTAATGAGCAATTTCTTTAAGATAATTTCCAAACTTAAAAATCAATTATGCCAATCGTTTTTTAATTACTTGGAATTAAACGTAAGAATCTTATTCCGACAAAGGTGGACTTTTTATTTGAAAAGAACAGATTGATGCGACTAACTTCTCTTATGGCGTCATTGTGGCATGACTGTGATCCGACTTTCCTTAGTAATAAGAGTAGTTTCAAAAATGGATGGAGCAAAGACAGTTAGCCTTTTCATTAGTCTTATCGTCGTTCTCAATATTCTTTGTTGTAAAATTATCGTAATCTTACGATTTAATTAAACAACTTACAGCGGTTGGCGACAGCCTCGTGGTGCCAGTGGAAACCGACTCCATCGCGCCGACGTCAGCTCTTGTGATACTATGTCACCTCTGGTGTTTGTGTTGTCGTTACCTGATACGTCTACAGTAGCCAGCAATCTTTCAACCCAGCCCTGGCTAGACGATGTTACGTAACAACAAAGACATAACACTCAATTCCACACTTTTTGGAACATTCATTCCAACAATATATAAATGGCCTCCCGCTCTGTACCGTACTGAGGAAAATCAGTAGTTCTTTGGTGGTTTGAAACTGTACCCAACAGTAAATGGTCTTGGATAAACATACATTATAGTTAGTAGGTGCTCAATTAATTACCTTCCAATTCACAATTTTGAGAATGTTCGATTTGATATCATTCCAACTGTATTTGGATCATGAGAATAGTTAGTGGGGTGTTATAGTTCAAAGCTGGACCA